TTATATTATATTATATTATATTATATTATATTATATTACATTATATTATATTATATTATATAATATTATATTACATTATATTATATTATATTATATTATATTATATTATATTATATTATATTATATTAATTAAATAATATATTATAGTACATTATATTATATTATATTATATTATATTATATTATATTATATTATATTATATTATATTAGATTCTGTTGTATTACATCATGTTATGTTGTGTGGTATTTGATTATACGGTATAAAGTCGTCTTTTGTGATGGTTTTCTACCCATACCCGTACTCGTACCCATACTAACATCCCTAGCGATATCCATCCATCCCTTCATTCATCCATTTGTACATACATAGGTGCATAAGTGCAAAAACAGAGAAATGCATGCACGTTTGCATTCAGCCCGCCATCCATACATGCATGCGCATACATAGAAGTGCTGCGTAGAGATATTGCGGCATAGGTAAATGCTACATTTCATGGCGAACTGTAGCAGCGCAGAATGCTCCTCTTCTGCAGCCGTATCTCAAGTTGGGCCAAAGACGTCCGTAGATATCAAGCAACTGGAAGAGCTCATAGTGCGCATTTAACGATGTCCTTGCGCAATGCTCAAAGAAACATCTCATGCGAAGGGTCAAGCTAGCTTAAGACAGGTTCGGTCCATGGAGACATATGCCGACCATCATGCCTTCACAGTGCTGTTCAATGCGCCTTACGGGGTTGACAGCCAGTAGTTCTTTCGTTTGGGAGTCAATCTCAGACTGAGCAAGAAACTTACAGCGAAGATGGGCAAAGGTAAGGGCAAAGGAAAGGGCAAGAAGGAGCGTGCTGACTGCTGAGTCTGCTCGAAGTAGCCTGAACCCCGAAGAACGATCTCGGAGCTTTCTGTCTGTTTTCTTCTGCCGCCACCCTCCCGCGAGGACGATGACGTGAAGTGTGCATTGGTTGAGTGCCTCCGGCCGAGCTTGTTTTGGAAGCATCTTTTCTCCATGTAGTCGTATTGAAGGAGCATACCAAACACAAGAGCAGAACGGGATTCAAGCTAGGTGAGAATGCAGTGTAGCCTCAGTCTGGGCAGGGACCTTCGTATCTCTGCACGGCATGTTAAGGGCCGTTGAACTGTGGTGTAGCGGCTACATCCTCAGGGGTAGGTTCCTGATCTCCAAGCTGTCACACCCCAAGATCACAAACAAGACCCTCATCCGCAGGTACGTCCGCGGCATCAAGGCCCGAAAGTGGACCCTTCAGCTTGGCCAGACCTACGACGTGGGCCGCGCAGGCATGACCGGGGCCTTTGCCTCTGAGAGCTCCACCTTTAGAGGCTGCAGGGATGGGATTAGGGTCCGGGGTTTAGGTTTTGAGGATAGCTCTCTATGAGGGATAAAGGTGGACGTCGAGCCTTTGCCATGCAACCGAACGCAACCCCACAGTCCAGGTGGCTGCGTGGACGTCGAAATCGATCACCCCTCGCTCTCCCGCAAGCACTGCACCCTCGTGCCATGGCATGCGAAGTGTTGCCAGTAATCTTAAATGCTACAAAACCCTGTTCTCAGCCATTGCTGGCTTAGGGCCCAGAGGCCCAGAGGTAACCATAGATTTCAAATTTCTGCAGAGCCCAGGCAATCACCCAGGTGGACTCCGAGCTCATCCTCGTAGCCCTGGACCATGGGTCTACGAACGGAACCTTCATAAACAAGTCGCGCCTCGAGAAGGACGGAATTGGAGTGTGCTTGGAACACTCCACAAGCCTTCGTCTGGTACTTGTTCTTTCCCTATCGCTGAGGCATTGCTGATAGCAAGTTTGGCACCGTCACTAGGGTCATTGTCGGTGCGATTGCGATTGTGGTTGCAGTTAGGACTCTGTTGTGGCTATCCCCATCGTCACTACCACCACGACCACCCAACAAACACCGCTATCATCATCATCATCACCACCACTTCTGGTATTGTCTTGGTTCTGGATGAGCTCAGCCTTTGTGGCTTCGGAGGGCGAGGGAGTCAAGATGCCCGTTGTGGATGTGAAGCACATCGTCTTCGGGGAATGCAGCCTGGACTGCATGTCTTGGTTCAGGGTTTACAGCGTTTTGAGTTTAACTTTGCGTGGTCTCAGGTCAAAACGGCTACAAGTTCCTTGTGAAGGACCAGGAGGCACGCCTGATTAGCAGCAAAGTTCCCCTGTCAAGAAAGAGTCCTGCATGTCCGTGGCAAAGGCGATCATAATTTATAACCCTAAACCCTAAACCCTAAACCCTAAACCCTAAGCCCTAAACCCTAAATGAATCATGCCTCTCAAGTCTTGCGCTGGAGGTCGATGCTCTCGAAGCAGACGGCGAGGAGTCGATGCCTGTGGCACCGAAGGAGGTCGACCAGGCTGCCGCGATTCTGTGCACTGCGGTGCTGGAGGTGTTGTTGTTGGTGGTAGTAGTGGTGGTCGCAGTCTTGGCAGTGGGACAGGTGGGAGTGGTAGCGGTGGATTAGAAGATGTTCATGATGATGTGCGGCAATGATGACGATGAATTTGATTGGCATCCGGATCATTGGAAAGTCATCTTCACAACATTATCGCAGCCGTCATCCAAAACACGATCGTCATCAAGGTCATCATCCTGATCCTGATCATCATCATCGTCATCATCATCATCATCATCATCATCATCATCACCATCACCCCATCACCCTATCACCCCATCACCCCGTCACCCCGTCACCCCATAGCATTTGCGTCTATCGAGGGAATGCCCCGGCCGAAACCAACACCCAAAACTGCGAGCCCAAACCACGAAACAACTGGGGCGTCCGACATGAGCAGCCTTTTGCCGAGCCAGGATCCTCATCCCCAAATCCCAGACCCGCGACACCCCGAGCACCCCCCTAAACCCTAAAACCTTTAAAACCCCAAGCCGTAAAACCCTAAGTCCTAAAACCCTAAGTCCTAAAACCCTAAAACCTTCAACCCTAAGGCCCTAAGCCTAAACCCTAAATCCCAAAGCCTAACGACACCTCCGGCGGCTGTTCAGCGCGAGCAGCACGTGGACGCCTGGGCTCGGGGTCCCGACGGTGGGAAGGCACCGAAGGTACCGCAGAAGCGAGCCTTGGCAGAATCTTGATACTTAGCCTGGAGACTTTTCAGGGTTTCTTTGAAGGGTTTCTTTAAAGGGTTACTGTAAGGGTTACTATGGGGGTTCCATAGTACAGGGGCCTCAATACTTAGAATAATGTTTGGGGGTTTCCCATACTATAGTTTCGATAGGGAATCCGAAGGAGCAATAATGATAATCGCTGTTGATGCCGGAGATTGGTTGTTGCTTTGATCAACATGTCGTCAAGGTTGTAGTTGTCACTACTTCTAGACTAATGTTGTTACAACTTGGACTACTTTCCAGTTCGTTATTTTTCATATCGTGTTGCTTCTTCGCGTCAGCCCATTGCCTGTTTGATGATGTCGATGATGATGACGACCGCCGACGACGACTACTACCACTACGACGACGCTTCTGCTGCTGATTCTGCGACTGCTACTGCCGTCCAGACGACGACTACTTCGGCTTGCTACCGCCATCGCCATCACGCCACTATTGTCCACAGTGAAAACGAAGCTTTTCATTCTCAACCCCGAACATCACCCCGATCCCACGAGCACAGCCATTCCAAGGCCCGGCGCCAGAAGGAGGCAATCGGAAAGAGCGTCGCGCAGCCATGCGCGCCAAGGCCGAAGCAAAGGCACGAAGGGGGCCGGGCCTAGCCGGGTTCAAGGTTTGGGACCTGGGGTTCAGGAAACTCAGGCAAAGTTTGGGCTGAGGGCCACTATCCCTCGTTAAGCGACTTCGGAGAGGAGCGTCTTGCAAATGAAGGCGCGTTCTGCGAAGGGCATGCGTCAAAAGTAATGTTCTTCACTCATGAGTCATGACCCAACACCTGATCATCGTTGCGGCTATTCAAAGTCGTTGTTTGATGCACTCTGGCCAAACAGACTTGCACGGGCAGCATCAACTCTCGGGTCTCAAGCCGAACACTCACGAAATTCTGGCGTACACGAGTGATGCTGCTCGGTATCTGTGAACCCGACTTCAACCTGAGAGCTGCAGCCTTTGTTTTCTCTACGAGATGTTGGCTCTAGCATTCCCTCGAAGTCTTGTTTAACCAACATGAACCCGAGTCCATCAGCCAGAAGTCGCCACGTGAGGATGGCCGTGCCGACAAGTCCAAGTCTGCATGGCGCTCTGCAGAGGCAGCCGGGATTCTGAGGATTGGAGGAGTTGCGTTGCAACGAACTGGGACGGTGGTGATGTCTGAGCCACCAGTGGCCGGGTCTTTGTTAAGGGTATATTATACTATATTGTACTATATTGCACCTTTTACTGTATTATACCATATTATACTCTATAATACCTTATTATATTATGTTATCCTGGCTTGAATACTCTGGTCCGATAAGACAAATGTGAGTACAGCAACTATCTTACCAAACAAACGGCAGGAATAGACGAAAAAGCCAAGACCTTCAGGTCTTACGTTTGAAGTATTCATTTTCCTCTAGCTAGAGCAGCGACAAGGAGAGCAATCACGAAGATTATCAGAGTTTTCCATCCATGACACCGGCTGCCACCAAACCGTCTAAAACCCTCCCTGCAGAGCACTAGAGCCCTTATAGAGAGGTCGCTCAAGCATCCTGAAAGTACCTTGAAGAGGCGTCTGCCTTGGCGGACCGCGTCACGGCGAAGCATGGAGGGGCGCAGGCACACGTGATGCTATCTGAGTACTTGGAAGAGGGTTTTGGGATGTATCATGCTATCGTCATGATTGCTCTCTCTATCAGTGATCTGTTTCCTGTAAAGATGAGCTGTCAGTCTGTGTGCCAACTTGAATTCCAACGAGTGCCAAATCTTGACAGGGCCAGAATCTCAACATCGAGTGGCCGGACGAATGGAAGTGAGCGTGCTGAATGCTGCAGATGCGCCGTGCGTGGAGGGACGAAAAGGGGCACTTTGAATCATTCCCATAGCACTGACGTAGCCATCAAGCTGTCTTGCCACTTTCAAGACGTACGTGAGCACCGCTCAGAGAAGCCACCATCCACCGTAGTCCAGAGGTGTCAAAAGACGGGTGTTGAGCTTATTCCCTTCCTGCCCTGGCTCTGAGGCTGCGCCAGCAGAGTCTTTCTGAGCTGAAGCTCTGCATACAGCATCAGCAGGAGGAGGTTCGGGTCGTCTGGGATTGCTGATGTTGGGATGAGCTCGGGAATCCTAAGCCTAAACTGTCCAAGCCCTAAACGCTAAATCTTTAGCCCCAAACCCTCATCCTAAACTCTAAGCTCCAAACCCTGAGCCGAAACCTCAAGCAGCAGTTGACCAACAGGCTCAGAGACGCGAAGAGCACGTGGAGGCTGTTGTGCGCTTCAGTAGCTGTGGAGTTTGGGGTTCAGGGTGTCTAGTTTAGGGTTTCGGGTTTAGGGTTTCGCTTAATTGGTTGCTACTGGTACTCGTACTGGTAGTACTGGTCCTCTGAGGAAAGGAAATGATTACAAATATTCTTGTCATGAGTTTGGGGTTAGTTTTTAGGGTTATGAAGTATGACCTGTGCCATTATTGCTGCATGCTGTTGGTGGATATTGGTAGGTTGCACAGGATCAAACTCGGGCCGCCAATGGGCGTCGTTCTTGCAGTCAATACATCAGTATCTGGGCATTGACGAACAGATCCTGGTTCAGAGTCCCCAAAGCCCTAACCCTAAAGACAAAAGTTTCCAGAAAACGAGAGAGAAGCGAAGGAGCAGCAGGCAGCAGTTGTGTCGGAGCTGCACCGAGACATAGAGCAGCTCAGGCGGGTGCTGGGGCAGCCGCCATGTCGTCCCATCTACAGCGCTTGCAGCTAATGGAAGCATTGCTATTCTTGTGACTCAATCCGAACCCAATCCTTTCCGTTGAAGCTTTGTAGAGGGCATATGATGTACAGTAGGGTTTACTGTGCAGTGGCAGGTCGTGGGTCCAGGAGGAAGTTGCCCAGCGCGTAGACAACGCAGAGGGCACTGTGCGGTGCCCCTGTAGAGATACCTGCCATTGGAAGCCAGAGCCACGGATCTCGGACCTAGGATGATAGATGTGGCCAAGACAGCTAGGACTCGTGGCTTCGCGCACTGTTTGAGAGCATGGATGCGCTCAGTCATGCAGCCGCATTGCTTTCGTGGAGCCGCTATGGAAGACAATAGGCTGTTTCTGAAGAAGCTTGCAGCACCCCGAAACCGCCATGCCATGTTTGTTTGTGCGGCCTTTTCATATACTTTCGCCAGCGAGACATAGCTCCGTGCCTACTTTACTGCAATACTTTCCGGTGACGATCGCGGAGCCCAAGGTCTCCTGCAGATATCGGAATCCACAGTCCAACTCCTGAAATCCCTTCCGGTGAAGTTGAAGAGCCATGTGCTCTTGTCAGCTGCCTTCACATGGGAGGGCACTGTGACTGCAGCTGAACACCGTGTGGCCTTGGTCTGTTGCGGCCCCGCAGCACAAAAGCAGACACACAGACGGTTCCGCACGGGTGAAGTGTACGATCTCTCGATATTTTGTCATGTGACGAGCGGGACATCAGATCTGGGATGCCGCGCCGTTTGTTGCACGAAGGGCTGGGAACCTTCCGCCCTTTGCGAGGTACTTCCAGGATCACTTCGTTCGTGCGCAGGCATTGGTGTTGTGGCTTTGTTGCAATCGTTGTCCAGTTTATGCGCAGCCCGATGGCCATCGTAGGCACGATACCGTCCAACATCCTTTTTTTACTAATCATGCCAAGCAGTTATGTTAAATTCAGCGACAAATTTGGGAAATATGATGAACCATAGTTTCGCACAACAGGCTAGCGACAACACACTATACTCGCGGCATTGCTTGTGATCAGACTTAATGTTAATGAGACGGTCAAAGCAGGACTAATTCTTGCAATGCGGCATTTCGCTTGACCGAGAAACGCGGCAGCTGGTGGTGGTTGCGGTGGCGGAAGGAGCAGTAGCCGTAGCAGTAGCAGTAGCAGTAGCAGCAGTAGTGGTAGCAGCAGTAGCAGTAGTAGTAGTAGTAGTAGTAGTAGTAGTAGTAGTAGTAGTAGTAGTAGTACTAGTAGTAGTAGCAGCAGTTGCAGTAGGAGCTCTAGCAGCTTCCGTAGTAGTGGTTGCGGCAGAGGCGGCGTCAGCCACCCATAAGCATGATGGAAATGATGGCAAGAGCAATCGCATCAAGGATCGTAGGTAGCAGCAAGGAGCCGTGAGTTGTGTTCCGTGTCACTATGATTTCTACCAGACGTGGAAGCGTGGAAGGACTATCACAACAACAAGAACAACACTAACCGGACGCAGTAAGAACAAGAGCTGCGACCGCGATAGCAACAGTGCTGCGAGCAGATCGGTGTCGTCATCGAAGGAAAGCTGTCAAAGCCCACAGGAGCTGTCCGAGTCCACGTTCCACCGCAAGGTGACCTGGAGGGCCTCTGCCCGAGTGCTCGTTAAGAGTGGTTAGCACCTCCATTCCGATGTGAAAGTTCCCTGGTGCAAACACGAAGCCCCACGCAGCACACCCGAATTTGAGAGTTTTCGTGGCCCTTTTGCTTCGCCCTCTTCCCTTTGAACGACGCCCACGCCCGGATCCGGCTCAGTACCAGTATCAGCATCAGTCTCAGAATTAGTAGCAGTCGCAGTGCCAGCATCAGTACCGTTAGCAGTGCCAGTATCAGTATCGGTATCGCAGTCGGCATCATCCTCCTCCTCATCATCGTCATCATCATCATCATCATCACCACAATCATCGTCACTATCGTCATCGTCATCATCATCATCATCATCATCATCATCAACATCATCATTCAGCAATGGCAGCAGTGGTAGCAGGAGCAGTCGTCGTCGTCGTCGTCGTCGTCGTCGTCGTAGTCCAAGTCGGAGGAGTAGTCGCAGTAGTAGCGGAAACAGCAGCAGCAGCAGCAGCAGCAGCTGCAGCTGCAGCTGCAGCTGCAGCTGCTGCAGCTGCAGCAGCTGCAGCTGCTGCTGTTGCTGCAGCTGCAGCTGCAGCTGCTGCTGCTGCTGCTGCAGCCGCGACGGTGGTCGTGGTTCATGCGGTGGTTGCAGTGGTGATTCATGGTGTGTTGGTGGCGGCGGTGCTTGCATGCAGTGGCAGCAGTTGTTAAATGTCGCCGTGGGGATGGGTGTTCGGTTTCCTCTCAAGGTGAGAAGCGTGACACCGCGTTTGAGACACGCGGTGGAGTCCAAGGCACGGCAGATGTTTAGCGGGCATGGAAGTGCCTTCTTGATTGGACTAGATCGGCCCAGAATTTGATTGCGGACTGCTCGAGCTCTGGGTTTCTGACATGTTAGCACCAAGCACAGGAATATTCGGCATTTGCAACTGTAGCTGTGGCTTGGGTGCGTGCCTGGTACCGATCGGAGCAGTGGTCACTGAGCTTCCCGCCTTTGAAGAGCTTGGAATCCCCGCACACTAGCCGGTAAATCACCTAAACCCTAGCCCTAACCCGCCCCAACCCCCTCCTGGATCAAACCTAAGCCTCCATCCCCCAACCGTTCTTGTGAAACAGGGAGAAGTGCAATGCTTCGTGTCCCCCGAGCTTCACTTCGCGGGCCAGCGCCTTGCCCTGCCCCCAAAGTGCTCTTGCTTTTTGGGTTTAGGGTTTAGGGGGGTTGGCAACGACGAAGAACGGATCTAAGTTGAAGCTTCCATCAGTTAGTAGAGAAGCGGAAGGGATTGCAGCCTTGACTGATTTGCATCACTTCGATTCCTTTGCATTGAATTCCCTTTCCGCTGGACAAAGGTTCTGGAACTTCAACTTCCAGCCGTAGAAGACTTGGAGGCATCGATTCGGGGTGCCTCTTTTCTTTTGGGGGGTCCTTGAAGAAGCACGCTCACATGGGGTCTATGTTAGGGTTCCTTTGTTTGATCAGCCATTTATCCGACAGTCTTGAATCGGCAAACCTGTAGGATGCCCGACAAATTACAAGAAACTACATCATGCTGTCACTTTCTTGCCTGTCGGCTTCGTGAACTGCGATTCTCCCCGGCAGGGAAGACTGCTAAGCCGTTTAGTCACTGGCACATATCGCAATGAGTCTTTGCGTGTACACTGAACAGCACCTTATATGCAGCGGGTAGCACAGGCTTTTGCTGCAGCGCAAGTCTCCAGGCTTTTCTGGCCGTCCATGGCCCACCGCCAGCCGCCCCCCTGCCCGGGGTTTGTGCCGTCCGCATCTGGGCCCGCCCAGGCCGGGGAGAGGTGAGGGGGGGAGTGACGGTTTCAACTCAAGCAACATCTGTCCCAAGCGAAGAGTAAGAGCTTCGAGCTTCGCGTGTTAAGGTGTAGAAGCGCTTCTTGGGCATTCGTGGTTGAGGTTTCGCAGACATGACCTAGCTTCCATTCGCGAACGGGTAGATATCCGACCATTGGGCAAGGGTGGTCACACACACACACACATGCACACACCTTTCGCAAATAAGCCGGGCCCTGCAATAGGTCGTACTCCTTAAGTACTGGGCTGTATAAGTTTGGATGAGGGAGCCTATATCATTGGAACAGGAGGGCACTTGCACATGACCGAAAGTGGTAGATTTCGGGCAGGCAGAGCAACCTGGGTAACCTAGTATTTTGGAGGGCACATTTACTGCGCTAGGCCTAAACCCTAAAACCTAAAGCCTAAACCCTAAACCCTAAACCCTAGACCCTAAACCTGTTTTTGCGCTAGGCATCCGACTGGCCTGCCTTGTCGCACTCGGTGACAGCGCTGTCACCGGGGGCCGTGCCGCCGAGCACCTTTTCCCGGTCCAAGCCTGAGGGCTTCAGATACTATAGACTACAGTGGAATATAGCTGTCGTAGCATACAATACTATAACATACTATTGTATAATATACCTCTGTATCATGTAATATACTGTATATGACATGCTATAGTATCTTTGGGGATTTGGAGGTTCGTTGCGGAGGCTGTGCTTCGCATGCGAGATGTTTTTGGTGCGGGTTGGCCAATTCTTTTGAAGCCCAGACCGTTCACTGGGGCAAAGGTTGTTCATTCAGAGCGCTGCTATCTGATCTGCTCATCCTGCTGCAGGTGAATCATAATATGGGTTGCGAAACTCGTTGCTCGCACCTTGCTTCCATGTCTCAGTGCTGCCTCCGGTGCAATGTAAGACAAGATGATGGGCAGTGGACCTATGCAGGAGCCTGGCCCAGTTTCAGATGAACTTGGGCGTGTTCCGTGGCAGATTGCCCATGTGGGTCGGGACCTCTGATCGAAGCTCATAAGACAACTCGAGTCTTCGCCTTTCCGCCTTGCGAGTAAAGCTCCGGCGTGTGTCGTCGTGACTTAAGCCAACATTGGGCCTGTATATATATATATATATGTATATATGTATTTGTACAGTACACACACACATGACACTCGTACATACAAGCGTACGCGAATACATGCATACTTTTTTACTGCTCGTTTGCTTTCTTACTTACTTACTTCCTTGCTTGCTTCCTTGCTTCCTTGCTTCCTTCCTTGCTTGCTTGCTTGCTTCCGTACTTGCTTCCTTACCTGCTTCCTTACCTACTTACTTCCTTACTTGCTTCCTTACCTACTTACTTGCTTGCTTATTTACTTACATACTTACTTACTTACTACATACCTACACACTGACGAATGTATGGGTATGATTGCGTGTGTATATATTTATATACACGTGTACATGCACGTGTCCATACATATGCATATGTGTGAGTGGTGGCTGTGTATTTATGTGATGTATTTATGTATGTAGTCCCGTAAACTACTATGCATGACTGGCTGCAGACCACCGCATCGCAAGCCACCACATGTGAACTACTGTATAAATACATCTTTATATATACGTGTATATATATATATATAGGCGTGTGTGTCGTCATCATCATCATCATCACTATGGTCATCATCAAATTGCAGGGCAAGGCATCTAAGACTGGTGCTCCAGGATGAGTGCACTTAGGTTTCAGGCATTATCACTGTTACGAGCCTCACCGCAAGACTAATTTGGAAGATAATCCCAGGCGAGTTCTTTCAATCTTGGGATCGGCGCACGGACTCTCTCACGGTCTCCCTCGAGGTTGGAAGGGCCCGTGAACCTTGAGCAATTGGTGTTTGTACTCGGCTTCGCGGGTCACTGCAGTCTCTAAACAGCCTACGATTACCGATAGCACTCAGTGACCTGTGGATGAGAGCCATGCCTGCATGGTCTCTTCTGAAAATCTCGTTCCTATGGTTCGAAAAGAATCGAGAACAACTTGTCGGCTGCTATAGCGTGGAAGGTCCTTGAGATGCGCGTGCCGCCCCCCGAGAGGACAACCTGGGGCGGGAACGAACAGGTTCAGCCAGAGAGAGAGAGAGAGAGTGTGTGTATGTATGTATGTATGTATGTATGTATGTATGTATGTATGTATGTATGTATGTATGTATGCATGTTTGCATGTATGTATGCATGCATGTATGTCGAGATGTGCTGCATGCTGCTGTGCTCCCTTCTCAACACATTGTTCTGCAATTAGGCAGATTCCATTTTGCAGCAGACAGAGCCAGAGCCTGGAAACGTAAGTACAGTGTGGACTTGGATCTCAGCATTGATGTTCCGGTGTGCCTCAGCCTCGGCTCAGCTCAGTACCTGCTCAATTCGGTGGTAGTGCATCTGGGTGAAACCCCAGAGAGTGGCCATTATGTCAACATATACCATAACTCCGCTACCAATGAGTTTCATTATGGTGATGACGCCGTTCCTTCGAGGCGTCTCAGTGCCGACGGAGTGTCCCGACATAGTCGTGATCTTTACCTGCTTTTCTATACTCGTGCATAATGGCCGGTCCTGTTTTTGGGCACAAGTGCCGAGGACCGAAATCATTCAGTATGGTTGGAGGATGTGCAAACATGCACAGCGTCGCCGGGTGAAACCTGTCCTCCTATCGTAGCTAAGTCTCGACTTGGCATCGTGGAAAGTGAAAGTGAAAGTATGTCGATATATATATATATACATGTGTATATAAGTATACACATGTATACTGTTGTTGCCCTTTCTGAGGAGCGGACTGTTGCGGCATGTGAATATACACACCATTTACTCAGAGCGCTTTACATCATCACGTGTGATGTATTCTCGTTCATCGCCGTGTTCTCATGATGATTCTTCTACTTCTCATATGTATATATATATATATAGATATATATCTATATATATATATATATATATGTATGTACACATGCATATACATATATATATATATAGAGAGAGAGAGAGAGAGAGAAAGAGAGACATACACATGTAGATCGATAGCCAGAGACAGGTTCCGGGCAGGCTGGCAAAAGGCCGTGACCGATCCCAAATACTTGCCCGTGTCTGGTGTCCGGTTTCGGGTTTAGGGTTTGGGGTTTCGGGTCTAGGGTTTAGATTTAAGGGACCATGCAAAGCAGGCCACTGTGGCTTCCCACAAACGTCGCCGAGGAGGCACAGCGAGGAGTGCATGCGGGGCTGCATGCAACGTAAGGGATGGCTCGTGTTGAGACGTTTGTGGATTCTGGGCATGCAGGTCCACTTCGACGTGATGGTGTTTTGAGTTCTACTAGTACCTTACCTACGTTCTTGTACTACGTGATGTTTAGACGCATTTGGTAGCTCTTGCCCTGGCTTGGTTCAAGGCTTCGCCCTCTGCCAACGGCTTGCATCCAGCTGACGAGCTGCGGCTGTGCTGCAGAGGGCGTAATCCAGGGGCTGAGTAATTTGCCATGCAGCTGCGAGACCAAGCAGATGGGGCCTGTATTGGCCCTGTATCAGTCTCAACACCTCAACCCCCGACGCAAGTTTTTACGACCACGTGTTGCTTTTGCGATTTCGTCTTTGCACTTCCTCACACGAGTTTCGCTGGCCAGTGCATCTTGTAACTAAACTGCATCAGCTGTAGGAAGTCTCCAGCGAGGCCAAGGCCCAGACCCTAGTCAAAGCCATTACAGCACTGAACCTGAAGCCCATGTTGGCGTTAAAATCCCGTTTGTTGCAGCCAGCTAAAGCGATCCGAGGAGTTACACGAATCATCTGGCAGGGGAAGCACTGGTGCAGGACTCTGTGCACAAGCTCTGCAAGGGCGCCATGCTTCTCACAGGGCAACAGGGATGTTTCCAACACTTAGCGGTCATTCAGACCTGGAAACCCGAAGCCATTTTCAGAAGCTTACATGGTGGGCTTTCCCTACTTCGGTCGAGAAGTGGTCCGTGTCGCGATGCATCCTGGGGACATAGCGGGTTCGAGCTGTGAAGCGGCACTAGGAGCGGGTGTCCGCTGATCTGCGGCGGCTGCTGGGCTTTGTTCAACGGACATGCCACCTTAATGATTATCAATATGTTTCCCTGCGTTCCTTTTATCAGGGTAGTTATTGAGGCCCCATATTCGATTCTGATGCTTCTTCGGATCTTGACCGCCAGTGGCAATCGAGCACTCTCTTAGAACTTCCGCAAACGTGTTGGCTGCAGCATCAGTTTCCGCTTTCCGCCTGCTTCGAGACGTTTGAGGGCTGTTTTGTTTTACGGAGCATGAGGTGCTAGATGGATGGTGATGATGTTCAAAATGACGATCTGGTTCATCGTGAGAACTATGATAGTGAGGATAATATCAACACACACACACACACACACACCTTCAGCATGTCATTCAACAGAGCCTCCGCCTCTCCTGTCGAATCACCAAAACCTCGCGAAAGAACCTCTAAACTTAGGCTTTGGTCCCTCGGCACTCGGCGCATGGAGTGGACTTTGGAGGGCTGCAGCAGGCGGGAGAGATCAGAGATGGGAGCAAGCATTCTGCGACTGCGACTGCGACTGCGACTGCGACTGCGACTGCTCCTGCTACTACTGCGTTGGCGACGGCGACGATGCATCCTACGTAGAGCCTCTCCGAACTCCGAGCCTCATGATCTCTGGGAAAGAATGCCCCAGATTGAGGCAAAGGGTTTGTGGTGCCAGTGTTTGTTCCCGGTGTAGCCGACTGACAGGCTTCTACAGCGAGCTCAGCCAGGCCACTTCGTTGAGAGCCCATTCTTTGCTTGCGCTGGCCTCGAGGTGCCAGGGTGGGACGGGTGAGCCGAAGCCCAAGTCAAAAGCAGATAATTTAGGGGCTTTAACAATTATCTATACTATTTTCGGGGGTCTTTTTTACAGTTATCGTATAGTATACCCCAAACCCCTATTGGAATTATCAAGGCCCGCGCGATAAGAAACCACAGAGGGTTTTCAAGTCATGGAGCCGAAGTTCCCTGCAGTTTCCACTGCTTCCCAAGCCTAGAGCCGGCTTGCTTGTGGCTTGGGCTGCAGTGCCTCCGTTTCAAAGCTTCGGCCGAGAATGTCGGGTTTTCTTCAGGCTTTTGGGTTTTGGGGTCTTGTGTATCAGGGGCCCCTCAACTCTAAGCTCCAAGCTCCATCTCCAAGCACTATAGAGCTCCGATCCCGGACTCCACTCCGAACCCCTGAAGCTCAAACGTGGAAAAGGACGCTGAAAAAAAGAAGTAAGGCTGTTTCACGGGCCTGCTGGCAATGTTCTGTCCGTGGGCTTCTTGAGCAGGGGTAGCCTCGTTCTTGTGCTCCATGCCAGCTTTAGGGAAAAACCCCAAAGTCAAGGGCCTCGTGCAAGCACACACCCAGAGCCTTTGTAAGCCAAGTCATATGGCCAGGGCCTCTCGTTGCGGCTCTACCCGCGCGGTGCCGCCGTCGAGGTCTCCTGTGTTTGGTGGGGGAAGCCGCTCAACGGGAATTCAGCCTGAGACTGGCTCTCAGAAGCCGCACTCGTCCTGATTTGCCCAACGGCTTCCTGCTGGGAAGAGCGAACCCTGTGGGCTTCCAAGCGCTGGGCCTTAAAGCATAAACCTGCAATGAGGTTGATTGTTGGGGTCAATGCCAGGTGTAGACCAACAGCTGCAAACCAATCCCGACTAAGCAAAGCAAGCTCCGAAGCACCAGACCCAAGCATCCTGAAGGCTAAGCCAACTCCCCAATCACCAAAAAGCAGCAAAAATATCCCAGAACGGCCAGGCGGATTCAGGTGCTGCACAGAGCTCGTTGATGCTTCACTGCGAAGAGCGGGTGTCCCTGCGGGGCACCATGTCTATAGGCCAGATGAGGGCTTCTTCTTAGCCCGTAGCATGGGTCCTGAGGACATGTGGACTTTGGGGTGTTTCGGGTGGTGTTTCCAGGTGAAAATGTGGGAGTACCAGCAGGCAGTACATACATTCCGTGTAAGACAGGTAGCATGGGATTTCCGAGGTGGAGAGAGCTTTGATTTGCAAATGGGGACAATGGTGAGGCCAAGGTTGATGGCTATGGTGACGCTGATCAATCAGCATCATCATAAGAGGACGAAGAAATTGGTGATCGTTGTCATTCGTCTTTGTTTTCAGCCGCTCATGTCCGGCGATGTGTGTATGTATTCCAGGACAAGCCCTTGTCTCCGTCAAGCTTCTGGATCGAAGGATTGGATCGTTTCTTAGGTTTCCCACCTTCAATATGCTAAAGAGCTTCAACGAAGCTTTTTGGTGTGAGATATGTCACGAACCCACAACTCACTTGACCCTGTATCGAGGAGATTTCAGCACCCCCCCCCCCCCCCCCCTATCCCCTCAGGGGCAACCCAGTCGCGATGGACCGAAGCTCTTTCGAAGAGCTGCTTGACGAATCACTGCTGGTCTTTCGCCAGCAGCTGCTGGAGTCCTTCCCTGCTTCCGTTGAGCTGGAGGTGCCGACGAGCAGTGGAAGGCAGGAAGACCTCACAGAAGCCCCAGCTGAGAACCCAGACCCAGGGGCGGGAACGGAGAGTTTCAGTGTTCGGCGGCCGGACTTCCAAATCGAAGAATTGGAGTCCTTCGAGCTGAACCTGGAACATGCCACTGGCACGAACAGCGTCGCATCCATGTGGCGACTTGGACAGCATGGGAACTGTAGCAGGACTTGTGCCAATCATGCCTTCAAGACCACGATGATGCTGCACGTCATAGTAAACTAGTAAACGCAATGATAAGCACGGCGATGATGATGCTGCTGCTGAAGATTATCTCCTTATGGTGGTGGTATGTTCTTTAGAGGTACCATGAAGAACCATACCCCACTTCACTACACAGAATCCAAATCCCTGGGACAATCAGCGAGTGACCAGGGTAACAATCGTGGCAAGACGCGCCGCAGTTTTTACGATCACTGCTTGTGGTTTTGCTGCTGTTGCTGCTGCTGTTGCTGCCGCTGCTGCTACTGCTGAGGCTACTGCTGCAAGACTACTACTGCTGCTCTGCTGCTTATGCTGGTACTACTACTACTACTGCTGCTGCTGCTGCTACTACTACCATTAC